ATATATAATATACTGCCTTAAATATTCCCTGAACAAACATTGGAAACACAAAATAATATAATTTTTGCCTCAGCCATTAAATGTAATTTAGAAACCCAAGAGACATTTATTAGATTTGCTCATATTGTACCATGTTCATTAACTTTTCTTTTTTCATGATGTTCTAAAATTCCCTCTTTTATTATCTTTCTTCCTTCCCTCCTTCTTTCCTTCCTTTCTTTCTTTCTCTTTGTTTTTTTTTGTGAAAGGGTTTTGCTATGCAGTATAGGCTGGCCTCGAACTTGCAGCAATCCTCCTGCCTCAGCCTTCCGAGTGCTGGGATTACAGGCATGCACCATCATGCCCAGCTGTATCATTTGTTTTCTATTTTAAGAGCTTCCTTTATCTATTCCTTTATGGTAGGCCTGATGGTAACAAATTATACTGGTTTTCTTTCACTGAGAATGTTTTATTTTCTTCTTAATTCCTGAAGATTTGTGCTGGCTATAGGATTCTGGGTTGGCAGTTCTCTTCTTCTCTTTTTTCTTTTCTTTTGTTTTTTCTTTTTTCTTTTGCTTTTCTTTCTTTTCTTTTTCTTTTTCTTTTTCTTTTCATGATCTGAAAATTAAGCCAGTTGAGATAACCAATGGCACTGTAATTGGCCAGTGGGTGGCCTCATTTTTCTTTGCCTACTTTGAAGACTTTGTTTAATTCAGTCATCTGAAGTTTGATCATCACATGTTTTGGTGTGGATTTGTTTTTACTGTATTTGATGTTAGCTCAGCTTTGTGATTCTGTAAATCTTTTGCCAAATTTGTGAAAATTTTCAGTCATTTATTCAAACAATATGTATCTAAACACTTTTTTTTAGCCTTAAACTCCGTCTCCTTTCCTTTTGAGATCCTGATCACATGAATTTTAGACGTTTAGTTACAGATAGTCCCACAGGTCCTTGAGGTTCTTCATTTTGGGGGTTTGTTATTAGTGCATTTTCTCTCCGTCACAGTAGGACATTTTTAAATTGTTCTACCTTCAAATGTGCTGAGTGCTTCCTCCGACTATTTCACCTTGCTGTTGAGCCTATCCAACAAGTTTTTAATATGGGATCCTGAAATTTTTCAGTTCTAAAATTTCCATTTCCTTCTTTATATCCTCTGTTTCTTTGAGTTTATATTTCAATTTGCTCGTGATTGCTTAATGACACTTTTTATGAAGCCTGCTACTTCTTGTCAGGTAATTTCAATTTCTGTGTCTTGGTGTTGATTGATTGCCTCTTTTCTTTTTAGGGAGGATTTCTGGCTCTTAGCATACCAAATGTTTTTTAGTTACAGCCTAGTACATGAGAAAGCTCTGTAACTTATTTAAATCTGGGTAAGTAAGTCTTCTCTGACACAATGTATCTTAGTTTATTCTGGCTGCTATTAAAAAAACAACATATTGGGCACTTCATAAACAATAAAAATTTTATTTCTTACAGTTCTAGGGGCTAGAAAGTTCAGGATCAAGGTACTGGCCCATCCCTTGTCTAGTGAGGGGCTGTTTGCTCACTGATGGTGTCTTTTTGCTGTGCCCTTACATGATGAACTGTGCAAATGCATTCCCTTGGGCTACTTCATCATGGAACTTACTATCTCCCAAAGGGCTTTCCTTCTTAATGCCTTGGGGGTTAGGATTTCAGCATAAACATTTTAGGGGATACAAATATGCAAACCATAGCACTGCCAGTGCTATGCTAGTGGGGGAAAGAAGGTGCTACCTAGCTATTTGGAGATGGGGTGGAAGTCCAGAGTGCCCCCTTGACTTCTACTGACATTTGGTTACAGGAGCAAGGAATATCTCATTATTGTTGGGTAAAACAAAAGGAAACCTCAGGCTCACTCCACGGACTGTGCTGACAGCATCTTATCCTGGAAGGGAAAAGTGCCTGGTTACTTCTCACACAGCTTTCAGTGACCATAGGGTGGGGCAGTAGGAGAAAGAGGCTCACCACCTGAGTGGTGATTCAATTCTAGCTTCTCTGTTGGCCTCCTCTGACATCTTCCTGCCAGGGAAAGAAAGAGGCATCTCCTTACCACTGAGTGTGAACTAAAATCCAGGTTTCCCACTAGCCGTCACTGACGGCTTTGGGAGATAGTGAAAGCCGGGCAGGAAGCAGTGAATGCTCTGTCAGTCAGGCAGACACCCAGGCTCTCTGATGACTGCTGAGGAAGGTGAGAGGGGGCCGCAGGCTTTTTCTGTCGTGCTGGCTAGCTCAGGGCAGTTAATGACTGGAAGTTCTCTCTTGCCAGGCTTCCTACTTTTTGGTCCTGTGCCACAGACAGAGGACTTTTTTTTGGTGGTGGTGCTGGTATTGAACCCTGGGCCTTTGTACTGACTTATAGCCTCAGCCCCTTTTAAATTGTTTTAGAAATTTTGAGACAGGGTCTCGCTAAGTCACTAAGTTGCCCAGCCTGGGCTCAGACTTCTGATCCTCCTGCCTCAGCCTCCCATAGTAATTGGATTATAAACATGTGCCACCATACCCAGCTTCTTAAGGGCTTTTTTTGTCTGATTCCTTTGCTACCTCCAGCTTGCTGAGTTCTTCAGCACCCAGTCTGGGATAGATGGAGGGAGTCGGAGGGGAATCCTCAGGGGACTCTTGCTGTTTTTCTCCTGCTGTTTTTGCGGTTTCTAGGGAGGCTGCCTTCTTTCCACTTCTCAAATTCTTCTCATACTTGTTTTATGTATCCTGACCAAGGGTTTTAATTGTACTTAGGGGAGGAATAGGGAGAAGTGTGTTATCCCATCTTGTCTGGAATCAGAAGGAATATTTAAAATTATCCCTAAGGCATTTACCATTGTTACGCCTTGTTTCCCAAAGGGTTAATAAAATGTAATTAACCTCCATGTGTCAGACTTTTATGAGGCAAAGTACATGCTTACAAATGCCATTTGCTGTTTTGCTTTATATTTTGAAACCTTTATTCACATTCCTGATTGAAGACTTGACTTTCTGTCAGCAAGATGTTCTCCATCATTCATGAAAATAAGGCGACGTGTCTGTAGGAGACACTGCTTCTTGTCACCACACGGAGGTCTGAATTTGTCTTGCCTCTTCCTAGATCCATTATTCTTTCCCACTTGACATGATTACAGATAAGTGGTTCTAATTTACGAAGAAACGAAGACTTAAAGAAGTTAAATCACTTACCAAAGTTTAAAGAGCTAGCTATTTTCAGAGCTGAGAGCAGCAAGCTGGTTTTATAACTAACAGTCTTTCTATTACAATAATGTTTCTGCTTAAAATTTGATACTTATAATTACTTCTAACACCAACATAGTTTTAAGTATAAAAGTTGAACCAAGTTTAGAATGTAATATGAAATAAATTAGCCGTATTATTTTAAAATGTGTATGTACTTCAAATAGTACTTTTATTGTTTCCTAATTTTAAAAGCCATACAGTCACTCCAGAAAAAAATTAAAAAGATCTAAAGAACAATAACAACAAAAAAACCCAACAGAACATCTATGAAGTAGATGGTTGTTCATACTTTGTTTGTTTTTCCATGATCTTTTCTCCCTTTCTCTATGATGTTTTATGCGGGTAATGGCCACATAATACTCCATTGTACAGACATACCGTCATTCATTTCACTAAACCTTACTGCTACTGACTTAAATCGTTCTTAGTTTCTTTTTATTACAATACAACTATCACGAACATGGTTGGTTATGTACTTAGGACAAACTTTCAGGGGACAAACTCATTTTTAGGCTTTTTATACTTACTGTGGAACTAATTACAGAAAGATTATAGGAACTTATAATTTACCTGTAATGAGTAGCTACTGCTATACATACACTCTCTCTCTCTCTCTCTCTCACACACACACACACCCACACAGAATATAAATATATATAAACTTTGCCTTATCCATTTGCTTTCCTTCCTCTCCTGCCCCTCATACTTCACCCAAATTCTCCTCTCACTTGTAGTTCAGCTCTAGCCTCTGACTTCTGTGAAACCTTTCCTATTTACCAGTTACTTTTCTTGTCCTTGACTTCTAATACTCATCATTACTACCGATTGACAGCTACCCTTTCTCCAGTTGATCTGGTTGTGTCTGCTTTATTTCCCAAGCTAGAGGGTGCACTCCCTGTGGATGGGGCAATGGTTTTCACACAGCGGCACTGCCAGAGGCACCCATCCTACTATAGTGACAATATTTGTTGGTTGACTGTTTCTTAATTTAGACTTAGTCAGTTCCCAAAGATTATTGTATCTCTTATGATATAGAATAATTGAGTGAACTCTTCTATATGGGGCTGGTTTGGTTTGTTGCCTTAGATTTGGAGATATTTTACTCTACTTGGAAAATTCTATTTTACTAACTATGAACAATTATAAAGTGTACAAAACACATTAAAACATTCCTGCATATGAAAAACAAAACCACCCAGGGCTTAAATGACAGCAGTGCATGCTGGGAGACAGACACCCCTTTCCTTATTTCACATGTGACACTTGGCCAGTCAATGGATTCTCCTCCCATATTGGTCAAACGTTACTTTGAACATTTATTATAAAACATTAAAGAAAAATTGTTATATATCCATTGAGTTCCTTGGGAAAAAAAGGCAATACATATTAAAAAGTTTTAAAAGAGCTTATATTATATTCCAAAATTTAAGTCATGTTTATAAATGACAGTTGATTTATGCCCCAAAGAAATCCATTTTTTTTTAACATAAAGTAAGCAGAATAAAAGTTGTTCAATGGTGCTGCATACACTCCTCAGCTTCAGCTGACCGTGGCATGTTTACACCTGATCTAGGAAGGAGCTTCAGTTTTGTCATTAAGTACGTACATATTTTCATCTCATCCTAGGATATGAAATACTAGACAATAAAAATCTCAATGAAAGAGAAAAGCAAAGCTTTACCTTCATAGCTGGCAGCATGTCCAGAGAGTCCAGTATGAACAGCACTAATGCTTGCATCAGCATCATAAATTGATTAAATTGCCATGTCAGACTAAAGAGAAAAGTTGATATGAAAATGGCAAGAAGTGTCAGCCTCTGTAAAAAGAAAACCTTTGTATAATTTACATGTCTCTAGTAATAAAAAACCTTGCAGACAAGTTTTCTCAAGAGCAGCCAATATCTCTATAAACCAAACAGAAAAACCATAAACTGTTGCTCCGAAAAACCCTTGCATTTGTTATTTGAGCTTTAAATATCCTAAAGTGACACTCTGCATATAAATATTCACATACGGTATGTGTATTCCACACTATTATGGAGGCGATAATGCACCAAATCACATCTCAAGAGCAACAGCTTAAAAATTCTGACAGTTTCACAGAAATTGTGTGTGGGCTTGCTGCAACTATTTAAGGGTAGATTATGTAGAGTACATTTTTAACATAAAAAAATGAAAACATTTTCTTTGCAAAGTAGGAAAAAGCTCAGAGAAAGAAAACTTAATTTAACTCCAGTTAAAAACCTGGTCAGGGAATAAGAACTATTCACACAGATTGGGACATACAACATATTTTTCAAAGCTTCTTAGATAAAATTGGGAAACTAAAATTACACGAAGTTTTATAGAAACTTACTTCAGAAAGAGACTGTAAGTTTGGTCTCAGGAAATATGTAATTGCTGCTATCTGGATTGCAAAGAATGGCAGTGCCCAGTTCTCCCTCAGTGGGATGGTAAATTCAGCTCTTGTGGTATCTATTCTGCACAAAGAAAACAGAAATGGCCAGAATGACAGTTTTCACAATAACTATCTCAAAGATTCTCTAAAGTAAGAGATAATTACAGTAAGTACAAGTATACCTAGATTCTGTCAGTTGGTTCTTAGTAATTGTCCTTATCATTATCCATTATCATCATTGTCCCCATAAGATTGGCACTGAGAGAATTTAAGTGATCAGTCCATGTGTGTAGATTTAGCTAAGCAGCAGAAGTGGGGTTCAAGCCCATGTTAATCTGACTGGTAAATCCATAAGGTATTAGGCCAACTGCTCCTTACTTTTTTCTCTAATTTCATAAATGCTAATAGGTTATCCATTCTTCCCCCTCTGTAGCTTTCAGTGTTTTATAGTTGAGTCATAAATTTGTCACTAGTGATAATTTAATAATACTTCTTGCCTCTCTAAAATGTGAACCCTCACAGGGAAAGTATAGGCATGTTTTCATCTTTGTATGCTCAGTATCAAGAGCAGAGCTTGAACATACTAGGTATTCAGTAAATGAGTGTATGTATGTATGTTTATGTACATATAACATAACCTTTTAAACCTCAATTTTCTTATCTCTAAAATGGAGCTAATAATCATACCTACCTTACAGAGTAGTCATAAAGCATTGTGCAAAGTACCTGGCACAAAGGATCATAATAAAAAATAATTTGTTTAGGATTACAAAAATAAAACCTGTGTGAAGAGTCATGTTCAAGTTTTAGGACCTCTACTAAATATTGGTGTTGCTACTGTACGCTGGGCAATAATTCAATGTATCTGAAATATGGTTTTTAAAAATACTAATTCATAAGGCTCCAATGTTTCTAAATTAATAGGTATTAAATACTATAAAATCTTCTTTGCATTTGTACAGTGCTTTATACTTTGCTAAGTGAGAACAGTATTCAAACCTATAAGACTGATAGTGAAGACAGATATTACAACTCTTTAAGAGATGAGAAATGTGGCTGTAAAAACACTGATTGCACAGCAAACATGTAAGAGAACTGGGATTATTACAGATGTTTCTTTTGATCTGCAATTCAGTGTTCTGTTCTTTTGCTGGAAAGCAGGGCTTTCTACCTTACTAAACAAGAAATATTTAGTGAAACACTAGCTAAACCAAAGACAAAATGTTCTCAACCAAACACAGCAGAAAAAAAATGTCTCTGAACTGGAAATAAAGTAACTTTATTTTACTTACATTTTGGAAAGGAAGAAAAGCATACTGATTCCAACTCACCTATTTGTGATATACCAGAAAGCTGCTAATAGTCCTGATAGCCAGGTACCACTAAGGAGCCAGCTGGTTATATAAAGAGCTGTGACATAGACGGCTTGGAGCCCGAATAAGGTGTAAATGTAAAAATAAACTGGTTCTAAATATTTCTGTAAAGGAGAAGAATAAAAATGTTTGTCAGAAAAGCCCTAACTCTTCTTATGCCATTTAAAAAATATGTCCGCAGAAACGCAGCATGTGGAAGCTTGCCGCTAACTCCCAGCAGTAAGTCCACACCGCTTCTTCCCATCCAGAAGTGTGCTAGCAATCTTTCTTCTCACAAGCGAGAGAGAAGCGAAGACAGGCCTGGGGGTTCTGCCTTCATTCTTTCTACCTAACTTGGTCCAATTTGCCTTATCACACAAGATGTGGTCATTGTGACTTGCTAATTTTATGATTTTTTTCATCTCCAAGATAAATCCAGGATCACACATTTATAAATGAAATATTCATCAGCTTCTAGACTGTACACAAACAGGAAATATCTACATATAAAAATGTTTTAACATATAAATAAAAAGCAGTACCTTATATTAATAATGTTCTCAGTACAATGGAGAAAATTAGGGTGTTTCTGCTTTCTATCCAAGCCATTCAAGATCAGAACATAGGTGAAATTTTCAATTTGAAGTGGCAGGTTTTGACTTTCATCTGATAGTAACAGTTCAATGGCACAGGTCACGACATACCTGTATGGGTAGAACTCTATATAAAATACTGAGGAAAACCTCTTGGTAAATATTCATTCGCTGAAGGAGATTAATTGTCTTCATAGATTCTGTTTTATTATCATGTATTAAGCCACGAAAACCTAAGAATAGTTGAAAAACCAGGAAAAATTATCATTATTTTATCAAAACTATTTCATAGATTCTTTGCTATGTGCCAGAGAATGTAGACGGCAGTGGGGACGTAACAGTAAGCAAAAACACAGAACTCCCCTCAAAGAGCTTCCCATTTACTAGATGGACATCATTAAACATTTACATAAACCCAGGCAAATGAAAACTTCTGTGACTACAGTGAAGAAAGAGACCACACTGTTTTTCTATAGAAATTTAGGTAAGAGGATTTTACATCCCCAGGCCTGCTCTCCTCCATGTGACCAGCAGTTCCTCGCCTGGGAGAGGATAACAGCCTTCCTACTCCCTCAGACAGCTATGGCCATCTGACTCATTCTGACCACAGGCACATGAGTGGACATGGAGCATGCCGTGTGTGAGCAGGGGCTTTAAAGAAATGTGTGCTTCTACCAACTCTCAGTCTCTCTGTCTGCCATGACACTGGTGTATTCCAAACAGGGGCTGGCAGGAGAGGATATGTGGAGCGGAGAGGAGCTGCTTCTGTCTCATAGCAGACATAGACTGAAAGTAAGAAGTAAACCTGTTATAGAAATCCACTGTTATACTGAGGTCATCTGCTATTATAACTAAGCTGATTAATACTGCACAAGGGATGAATGAACAGTTCACAGAAAAAAGCAGGCACATAGTTCTTATACATAGGAAAAGCTGCTCAATCTCCATCCTATTAAAAGCAGAGCAAATTAAAACTACACTGAAATACCATTCCTCACCTACCAGCTTGTCAAACTCAAGAAATATGACAGTACTAGTAAGGTTATAAGGAAGTAGATTCTTCCACACTGCACATATGCAAAGCAAAATGGTATCATCTTTATGGAGAACAATTTTGTAATACACAACAAAATTACATGTGCATTTACCCATGGCTAGGAATTGATCCCAAAGAAAAACTGGCAAAAAACAAAATGACACCGGCACAAGATTATTCATGCAGCACTGTTTGATGAGAATAAAAGATCAGAAACAACCAAATGCTCATCAGTAGGAGGTACGGTGGACTGAACTACGCTGCCATCAAATTTGGACGGTGAAACCCTGACCCTTCAATATGTCTATGCCATGAGACAGGGCACAGAAGGGGGTAATAAAGGCTAAGTGAGGGTGGGGACACTGGGGGAAGAACGGACAGGAGCTTGCACAGCCTCTCTTTTCTCTCCCTTGCTCTACTTACACAGAGGAAAGGCCATATTGAGGACAAAGGGTAGAATGGCATCTACAGACGAGGAGGAAAGGCTTTATTAGACCGCAGCACTAGTGGTGTACTGATCTTGAGCTTCCAGAATTGCAAGAGAATACATTTCTGTTCTTTAAGTCATGCAGTCTGTGGTATTTTATGGCAGATCCAGAAGACTAATGCAGGGGTATTCCAGACTAAATGTTTGTGTCCTCCCATAATTCATAGTTGAAGGGCAGGACCTTCATGATGGGATTAGTCCCTTGGAAGAACAGACACCATCGGTGAGGTGGTCTTTAGTCTCTCTGCCTTATGAACACACTCAGCAAGAAGGTGGCCATTTGCAAGCCAGGAAGAGTTCGCACTAAACCCTGCGCATGCTGCCCCGCATCCCATCTCTGACTTCTAGCTTCCAGAACTGCGAGAGAATAAATTTCTATTGCTGAACCTATCCAGTCTATGGCATTTTGTCATAGCATCTTGAGCAGAGTAATTAAGGAGACTACTTGTGTCAAGTGTAGTTATCCACACAAAAGAGTGCTCTGCAGCTGCAAAAAAGGAATAAGGACCATCTTTTTTATTTTATTTTATCTTATCTTATTTTGTTAGGACCATCTTTTATTCTACTTTTGTAAATTGATCCCAAAATAGTCCGTTGAGTGGAAAAAACAAACTAGGAAGCAGTATACACAGTAGGAAGTTTTTCTATAACAGAAGGGGAAATGTGAACATATTAAAAGATTTGCTTATCTTGAAACATTAACACTAGAGGAATAAACCAAAAACTAATAAAAATGATTATCTAAAGAGTAAAGAGGTAAGAAAGGGAGTATAACATCTACAGGCCCCTAGGTCTGATCTCTAGCAACACACACACACACACACACACACACACACACACACACACACGACAAAAACAAAACAAAACAAAACAAAACAAACAAAACAGGAAGGAAACAGCGGAGGGAGCAATGATGAAGTATGCATCTCCTAATGTTCCTTGTTTTGTAACATATAAAAATTAAATAAAAAACCCTAGAAAATCAAAAGATAAAACAAATAAACCTACTGAGTCAGTGGCTTCGTTACACAGAAAGAACTCTTTCAAGCTGACCTGAAAACAGAGGAAGGTGACTGTGTATCCCTAGGTGGGTTACAGCCTAAGGCGAAATGGGACTGCAAAGACAGCCTGAACTGTTTTCAGATAATCATGTTGTTAGCAGCAATATTATTACTGTTACTCGGAAAGTATTATATAAATGAGAGCATAAAGCAAGTAAGTGACAAGGTTAATGTCACAAGAAACCAAAATTTTCAATTTAAGAAAAAGAAAGGGATACAAATGTAAAAGTAAAAAAGTAGAAACTTTTATCTTAATTTTGCCCTGAAAATACTTACCTTTATATTTTCCTATAAGGGAAAAAAATCACATTTTCTAGCTCCCCTCACTAAAAACACCTGGAAGCAATGATCTACCCAGCAGCATTAAATGTCCTCAGCTTCAAAGTTGCAGTCTCTAAATAACCACTGAAAGGAGCTACAGCTTCTTGGAGGAAGGGCTGATTCTAGGTCAGCGGAAGGAAATGTACAAAATGGGCCTCAAATACCTTGTGATGTCAAAAGGCAGGGAGTTGTCCAAGACCACTGGGGTCATGTCAAACAGAAAGTGGGCATCCCATCAGAAAGAATCTACAAGTTTATGATGACACTGAAAAGCAAATGCTTACAGGGCTGGTGATATACTTCAGTGGTAGAGCACTTGTGAATTCAATCTCTAGTAGAGGAGAAAAACATCTACAGGGCATGCTAGGAGGGCAACTCATTCTAAAATAATAAAGGGAGAAGAACAGAGAAGAATAAATTCTGCCTTTCCCCCCCTTATGAACTAAACCGACTTACCAAGTAGTTACTGAGAAAATGTTTCCCTTTAAAAATAAATTTTATCCAATAATAATGGAAGGAATGATAGAACATCACTATTTTACAGTACATGAAATTAATGGATTTAGGAAATGATCATTAATGGTGCTAAAAAAATTAGTGAGAAGCTGATCAAGAATTTAGTAATGGATGGACAGACAGCCAGACACTGTGTGCCTTCTCATGTGGAAGTACATGATACCATCTAGGAAGTATTCTTGCCAAAAAGTAGAACCTAAATCTGAGCAAGCCTCAAGCTAATTAACAAGTAACAGGAAATTCAGTAAAAAATATTAAATGATACCATGGGGCTCCAGACAAATGTAGAAAATGCGCAATTCCATGAAATAAATCAGTTATTTGATAAAAAACTACATGGGAAAAGAGGAAAGATATTGATATATTTAAGAAAACACACACACGATTGCAATGTAAACACTTTACATGCATCTAAAAAACTGTATTAAAAATTTAGCTGAGTGTGGTGGCACATGCCTATAAACCCAGTACTCTGGGAGCCTGAAGCAGGAGGATGTTAAGTTCGAGTCCAGGCTGTGCAATTTAGTGAGATCCTGTCCCAACAGAATAAAATGAAAATTAATTTTATAAAGGATTAGGGAGGTAGCTTAGTGTGAAGGCTCTGGGTTTAATTCCCAGTAGTACAAAAAAAAAAATCTACATTTAAAACAAATAAACAAGCTGTATTAAAAACCTGTTAGACAAGTGGAAATGAGAACACTGTTGAACCATATTGATATACTTACAGATGAAGAAACACGATGCCTTGGATTTACTATAAAATAATCTAGGCTTAGGGCAGGAGAACAGACAAAACAAGACTGGTTATGAGTTGATTAATGTTTTAGCTGGGTGATAGACACATGAAAATCCACTACAGCATTCCCTCTACCTTTTTATATGTTTGGAAATTTCTAAAAGAATAATCTCAATGGATGACAAGAATGCACTGAAACATGTTAGCCCCTGAGTTTGCCACAATACTTATGGAAATAGTCATGTGAGTTTCTCAGTCCCAGTACTACTGACATTTGGGATGAGACGGTTCTTTGCTGTGGGGCTGCTTTGCACACTAGAATGCTTAGCTGCGCCCCTGGCCTCATACTCACTGGATGCCAGTACACAAACCTCCCCCCTGTGAGACAACCAAAAATGCCTCCAGACCTTCAGCATGACTCTCTAGGGGCACCCCCTCAATCAAATGAGAAACACTACTTTGGAGACGCTAGAAAAGCAACGCTGTAATTTTGTGAACTCTCAAGTAGAACCAATTCTCATTATTCACAGTAATTATGTTCTATAAAGCTACAGGGAAAATAGTGGCTGAGGTTCTTGCAATTTTATAATTATGTACTTTCACCAAACATATAACTTTATTTCATGTGGGTTTCTGTTGAAAACATTACCTTTACATTGCTTAATTTGTGGTGACCAGCAAATATAACTCATGCCTAAACAAAACCTAACATGTGTTCTCTGTAAGGCGTATCGATGCCTTCTTGCACCTAGGAATACTACATAGTACTTTCATACCATACGTGGAGGTCATTTTAAACTATAAAACCAGCAAACAGCATCAAAATTTTAAAAAATTGTGGCACTAAATAGACTGTGAAAAGGACATTGTTATGGTTTTTCTCTAGATGTTCCCATAAAGCCTCATGTGCTCACAGGTAGGGCTTTCTGGAGGTGGTTGGATCTAGGGTGTGTGAATGAGATTAAGAGTGTGTGAGTCAAAAAAGGAGTGGGGCAGGGATATAGCTCAGTGGCATAGCACCTGCCTGGCAAGCGCAAGGTCTTCAGTTCGATTCCCAGTTAAAAAAAAAGTGTGTGTGCTTATGGATATGATAACTAAATCAGTCCATTGATTGATACAGCATAGTTCTGGGTGAGGCTAATGGGAAGGTCTACCCCGAGTGTGGGTGGAACCCCTCAAAAGGCTTGTAACCTAAAAGAGATAAAAAGGAAAAGGAGGCTTGCTGCTGTGGCTGCTGCTGCTGTTTTACGCTTCCTGCCTGCTCTGCCATGGACTGTTTTTCCTCTGTGATGCCCCTCTGTCATGCCACTCTGCCTTGGAGTGAGCTGACTGTGGATTGAAACCTCTATAAACTGTGAGCTGAAATAACCTTTTTCTCCTTCAACTTGTGGGTGTCAGGTATTTTGTCTCAGCAGTAAGAAAAGTAACTAAGACAGATACCGGTATATGAGAGCTGAACCGAGACAGAGCATTGCCTCTGTTTTAGTCTCTGCTGAGAACAGAGGTAAAGAGCTGATTTTTTCCACAGCTCTGGACATGTCCATGAATGCTGTGGAGGCACCATGATTATTGATCTGAGTGTCACAGATAGGTTCAGATAGATTTTTGTGAATGCGTGATTTTGCAAATTTGGAACCCATATTAGTAGGACTGGCTATATGGGAGAAAAATCAATATTGAGCCCACCTGTCTTGTGTAAACTGTATCTCAGGGTAACCAATCAATTCATGAGAAAAAGGTTTTCTGTAGAACAAAGTTCCAATTAATAAACAGCAGAAGAATGAAAGGTTTAGCATGTCACATTTTGCAGCCTTATTGAAATAATGGATATCGGCAGTAATCATCAGTGCTTGTTGATACCAGTAAGCGAGAGACTGAGCAGCTCTATGATGGATGGATCTAGCTATTAATACAAGAACCAGCTGATTACTTTTTATGGCACAAAGACAAAGACAGCCAAAATTTCATGTCCCTTATTGTGATAAAAGTAGATACACAAAATATCACCTATGTAGAATTCTCATCAAAAATATCACAGCTGAACCCAAGGAAAGCCTAGAAAAGGACAACAGTCTGCCATGTGCATACAGGTTGAGCATGTGGAGGATATGTTATGTAGGAGAGACCTTGGAAGGCTTCCATGAGAAGCAGGAAAGGTAAGGTGGCTCTAAAACACTTAGAAAAAGTATTAAAGTCAGACAATGTATGTACCAAAAAGAAAAGGGAAAGCTAGCTCATCTGGATTTTATCATTAATCAGATGATTAGATTTTTTGAATGTCTGTTTCTCACCTGCGCTTGTGTTGTGCGTTGTGTCCAGATGTCCCCCCAAAGCCTCATGTGGTTGTAGGTGGGTCTTTCTCAGGGGTGGCTGAATCTAGACTGTGTGATGCTGGTATTAAGGGTGTGTGATTACTAAATTACTCCACTGATTGATTTGGCACCACCCTAATCCTGGCAGCCTAGACAGAGTATAAAAGGCACAGAAAAAGGCTGCTAAGGTCCCTTGCTTGCTTTCCTACCTTCTACCCACCATGGACTGGTTCTCCTCTGAGATGTCTGTCTGCCATGCCACCCTGACGTGGAGCCAGCTCACTCTGGACTGAATCCTCCACAAACTGTGAGCCAAATAAACCTTTCCTCCCTTAACTTTGGATGTCAGGTGTTTTATCTCAGCAACAAGAAAAATTTCTAAGACAGACTGCTTGAATATTTGCTAAAATATTTATCCCTTGGAACATTAGTCACACAACCTTACACTAGGAAGACAGAGAAATACCCTGCCCGCTTCCCTTTAATATTTTACTGAACTACCTACAACAGGAAATATAGTTGAGGAGTAGTTTCAAGGTTTTATTTCTAACTTTATAGACAATGAAATAAAGGTAGTGATGGAGATAAGCCAAAAAAAAGGTGAAAATATATGAAAATGGGCAATTGGCAGATAAAGGAATAAATGGAGAGAGTGAGGGTAAGAGGGACGGCTAAAATTTTTATTACTGAAATGCCCAGTATTTTTGAACACTACTCCTTTCAGCTGCAAAAATCGCCTTCAAAATGATCGTGAGAAAAACAGCAACAAAACTAAGAAATCACAAAGAGATTGCTTTGGGGGATGGAAAGCAAGGGCAGGAGAGTTATACAAGGTATTATATAACTTTTTTCAGAGTAAACCATTCTCATGGGATGATTAGACATTAACAAGGAAAAGCCATACAAATTCAGATAAAAACTACACAAGTTCTATAAAACATTTAAATGTTTTAGTGCAAAGTATGTTCTCACTAAATGGCGCCAAAGAATGCAGCAGACCCAAATGAAACTATTAGTTGTAATTACCTTGCATGAGGGTTGGAGCCTGCAGCATCTGCTTGTAGTAGGAGTAATACAATCCACATTCTGTTCTGAATGAGATTTCTCGCTCCACTTCCTGAAACAAAGTTAGATCTACTGGGTTTATATGACCTAGTTTTATTTCAATATGTATTGTCACTGCAGAAACAGGATACAGAACTACAGTTTAAAAGAGAAAAAGCCAGCAAATACAGTTTACCATTTTAAGAATAGCAGGAATCTTTTTTTATTGTTGTTCTTATCATTTATTTTAGTTTTAGTTTTGTGAGATAGGTCTCGCTATGTACTTCAGTCTGTCCTTGAATTCCCTGTGTAATGATTCTGATTGAGGTGATCCTCCTGCTCCAGCGTCTTCAACACTGGGATTACAGGTGCGTGCTACCATATGTGGCTCTCAAGAAATCTTGAGAAATAAGAACCATTGCAGGATGATTAAAGTTGGATAATGGACACCTGAGAGCATGTTATACCACTGTCTCTAGTTTTGTGGATATTTACATTTTCCATAATAAACCATTTTTTTAAAAGTGGAGATAATTAGTAACTAGTTCCATTTAAATTGTTTTAAAGAGGATGTTGTGCTTTTATGTCACAAAAAACTGAATTTTAAGAAAATAAAAAGAAAACACATCACTATTCTCAAGTAATATTAGTGGGACACAGGGCAGGCACATTATGAACAAACAAACAAAAGCCCTCCCAAATGAAAAGAACTATAACTTCATTAGATACCTGTATAAAGAGCAGCAATGTTACAGGTCAGTAATTTTCTTTCTAAGAATATAAAGTATTTAGGCCTCCCACATGAGTTTTACTTTGACAAGTGTAACCGTTGAAAGATGTTCATGTGGGTAAGTGGATACATGAAATATTTCAACTGCTTCTGGATAAGAACTAAACACTTAAACAGCTATGAGTCAGTTTGGCTGCATAAAATACCGAGGCAATGGGTAAAGATGAGGATTTGCTGGAAGAATCCCATTAATACTTAGATGATATATTTGATATACATGTAAAAATAAAAGTGAACAAAAAGTTATAATCTTTGTTATGATAGATTCTTTTACCCAAGTCTTCCAGATACCAGGTCCTAGAATCTCTAGCACATTGTCTAAAATGTAATCTCATCTATGTCTTTTCTTATCACTGCACTCCATAAGCAAACTAAGCTAGGGAAGATGATTGATGCTGAGCCAATCTCCCCTCTGAGCTGACGAACTCCCTTTAAGCACATCTGTGTTTTCCCCTTCCTCCCGTGTTTTTCAAATAATAATAAACACTTCATTAAAAGAACCACTGATGTTATTCATCTTCAGTCTTGAAAATTATTTAATGTATTTCTCCTACTTTTTAAATATATTTTGTCCTTTAAAAATATTATAAATCAACTCACAAAGAAAGCACTGAAGAAATATTCTCTTAATTATTTAAAAGTGTAAACATCCAATTACTGGCTCCAAAAAACAATTAGGTCGTATCATTATTAATTCACTCCTATTAGAAACATGGGTGGGGGTGAGACAGCAAACTTTTTTATATATTGAATTTCCTTTCACAGAAACAAATTTATCTTGGGGGAAATTAAGCATTTAAAAAGGCCCTTGAGGTTCTGAAGTTTAATTAGCACACTTGCTTTTAAAAAGGACAGCACAGGATAAGACAGCTTTTTCAGTTTCCATAGTTGCTACTGATCTGTGTTTGCCTTTTATAGGAGCAAGGGCAGCTTTTCTTATGTTAACCTTAGTCATCTTTAATCTTGTAGGAAACTGCTCTATTGCTTTTTATAGAATAAATCCAAACTGGTATCACCTGTTTCTAGAATGTTCAAATCCCTACTTGGTCATATAATCATAGAGGCTATGAACTGATGTTAACAGGCAAAATATTAGCTTTGGTCCAGAAAAGGAGAGGGAAAAATTGCTTTCAGTTTAATTACTCTTTCCCCCTTCACTCCAACTGCCTTAAAATGTTCAAAGTATGACTACTGCCTTCAATGGAATAGTCTGACATAAAACCTGCAACCCCAACTGCAGACCAAATTATTTACCTACATCTACGGGCTTCACTTCCTGTACAGTTCTAAGAATAAAACAAAACAGTCATATAAAGATGAGGGAAAGAACACTGCTTAAAGTTCTAAAAGTAGAAAGCTTCTGTGCCCCACCCCTTTCTTCAATATACCCAGAACAATAAAAAACAGAGGGGGATCTAATTAGTAAAAGTGCATTCAAACATGATTAATTGGTAATCTTGGCACCAGCTGTATGGAACCAAATGCTATACTTTATTAGACAGACAGTTGCAAGTTTTACATCTGCTTCATGCTAAGAGAACATCTGCTTTACTCACACACTTTTCCAGTTTTACAGCAATTTATACTTTGCCTGGTGGATCACACCAATGAAAATGTACATCAATAGAAGTTACCCTCTACAGAATGCAAAACGAACACATACTCCACATTTTCATTTGCATAGGTTCCACAGGGAAAGCAGTATTTGTGGAGAGAATGAAAACATCTCTGAAGATAATGACAGAAAAAAAGGTGAAAAGACAAAAGAACTGTATTTCTAAAGAACTGTGCAGATAAAACCATTTCACTAGTAGTTTATATAGTAATTACTACAAGTACTACAAAGACAAAGCATCAAGGAAAAAAGGGGCTGTTCATAATTAATGATTTGTGGCCCCCACAGGCGTTAAGGCAAGTTGCTGGCAATGCACAAGGGGTTAACAAGCCGTTTTTAGGAAAATGATACTCAATGTGGAAAGAAAATGCATCAAATTAGCTTTTTAAAATCTCATGTAAATAACTTGCTTATAAAAAATTGTCCCCCCAAATAATTAGCCTGCTGGTGGTCGGGTATCCAATGAGCGATTAACTTTATGAATGCTATCTGTTTAGAATTATGTTAACAAATCATCTCACCAAGAAACAGTAGCTCATGATAAGACAGCTGTTCTTAAAGTTCTGTGCTGGGAATCATGCCCTCAGCAAACATATTTATGGCACATACATGGTTTATTGTCTGGTGAAATTCATGTCCATCTGTTAGAATGGAAGGATTCTTGCCCTAGAGTTGATTAAAGCCGTGACACGAGAGAGCTGCTAAGCGGTGCCTGTGAGGGAGGAAGGCTGCAGCTGAAGTGACGGTACTTCCACTAGGCTCAGGCTGAAGCAGTCAGTGGTCTTGTGCTACTGACGCTATTACTGTGTTCATTAACCCTAATTATTCCACAGACTCCTTGCGTTGCAGGAGTATTCAATAGGAAGATGTGCACATTCTGCAATGTTGAACAAATAACAGGAAAAAGCCTAGGAAGAAATGAGCAACCTGATTGCTTCCAGCCAATGACAATGATTTCCTCCCTCATTTATTTGAACATTTATTGGCTGGAGAAACAAAAAGAGGTAAGAAGGAGTCCCTGATCCCAAGGAGTTCATGCCCCCACAAGAAAGAACAATGCAACTTGGTGCGGTGGCACATGCCAGTAATTTCAGCACTCTGGGAGGCTGAGGAGGCGGGTGGGGGGACACAACTGTAAACTGAAACCCAGCCTGGGTAATTCAGCAATTTAGTGAGACTCTTTCAAAATAAAAATGGACTAGGTATGTAGTGCCCAGTGTGAAGGCCCAGAGTTCAGTACTGGGTATACAAACAAACAACACACTCGTGCACACAGATATAGATGAAGAGAGCGAGACAATGCAATACATTGTGACTCAAAGGAAAATGAGGAAATGCAGATACCACAGGTAAAGAAGAAATCACCTTCGGCTTCTTTCTTCAATCTGTCTTCCCATTCACTCATTCATTCATTCAATAAATAAATAAATACCTATTGACCCCCATCAAGTGATAAGCATTTTTTGGCTGGAAGATTCAGCAGTGAATATAACAGAAAAATCTCTAACTTTATAATTTAGAATAAAGGGAGAAGAGAGTCAGTACATAAGCAAAATCCTTATTATGTAAGACAGTCTTAAATAATACAGAGAAGGACCAGAGGGGAGCAAGGGCAGGTGCTGTGACTGGAAAGCTCCACTGGCAAAGTGGAAGCTGAACATAAGCCAGAAGCAAGGCAAGGAGCCAGGTGGATGCCTGCGGGTGGGGACCTGCCTGTCAGACACAGCAATCCACAGGGACCTGGAACAAGAGGGCAGCAGGGTGGCCTGATGGGGAACAGTGAGGTGGCTGATGAAGTCAGGGAGGTGGCCCGGCAGGAAGAGACAGATCACCCATTCCTGGAAGATGATGACTCTAGGTTTTGAGAGCTAGCAGGGGTGGAGGAGAGAGGAGTTAACGGAGTTTGTGCTGAGACCTCTTACGTTTGAATGTGAGGGGTTCTGAGCAGAGACACACACTGATGTAGATTTAAGTCTCCACTGGCTGTTGTGTTCAGAATAGAGGATCCAGAACCAGAGCAGAGCAGAGAAGGCAGAAAGGGGGCCTCTGCAACAATCCAGGTGGAGAAAAAGGTGGAGACTGTGCGAGATGTTCGACTGTAAAAACTGCAGAAGCTGAGAGGACCTGATGAGAGATTTCATGTGGGGGTTGAGAGGTCTGATTCTTTAAGTTTCTGATTTGAACCACTGAGGGATGAAGTAGCAATTTAGAGATAGAAAAGACTTAAGGAAAGCCAGGGGTTTAATTTTACATCTGTGGAGGCTCAAATGTCTACAAGACATCCAAACAAAGGTGGCCAAGTGGCACGATACACAGCTCTGGAGTGCAGAGCGTGAGCAGGGATCACCAGCAGAGCACTTAACACTAGAGAGGAATATTCTTGGAAATGACAGACAGAAAAGTCTTGGGGTTCTCTGCCATAAAAAGTCAGGAGGCCAGGGAGGAGCCCGCACAGAGGCTGAAGGATGAGTGGGAGAAGCAGGAATAAATCCAGAAAAATGTCCTGGAAGACAAGAAAAAATGCTAACAGGCTAAGTCAAATGAGGACTGAGAAGTGATCACTGAATTTAGCATCTTGGAGGTCACTGGGCCCCCAAGCACATTTTTAGAGCTATGTAACTGTCTTGGTTACTTTTCTCTCGTTGCTGAGACAAAATACCTGACACCC